TTACACAGGTTACGAACTTAACAGCCATCTTATAAGAAATATAGTGTCTTTATTGGACATATCTGCAATTATTACACTTGAAAACAACATGCATTGTTTTACGTATAGCCATTTTAGTGATACATTGCATGTTAATCATATTTCAGTGTTTTTTGGTATTGCAAAATGCGGTGAACATATGAAACATTCACATGTTCAGAACATACCATACAAGTCTGGTTCAACCTAGCAAATAATCCATACAAATAAATTTACCTGGGAACGTCACTCTACCCATCCCTAACCCAGCGGCTTTTAAATCATTTTTTCGTGCTGTTTTGGAACTTTGTCGCAATCCATTTCTGCCAGGCAACAAAAGTTGTGGGTCCATGAGTTTGTTATGGGAACCAGTATACTTCCACTACCACCTTTTCTTTTCTTTGATACGGGATGGTAGGGTGCGAGTTGCGCTGCAACTCGGAAGAAACTGCGATAAAATACATGACACTTTAAGAAACCAATTGCAAACAATACATGGCTGTAAGTACGTCTTCTCAAGTGCATTTCAATACATTCTTAATAGTTTAAACCCTGCTGAACAGGCTGCTGCTCTGTTTCCTGTCGATATACTGCCAATTGGCTACCAAATGAAAATGAATTTATATCATTTCATCCCCGGCTCAGCATAGAGCTGGCTGACCATGGTAAAGACCTCCATTTTTTCACTCAGCATTCTTCTAGCCCTTCTGGGTTTCACCTGGCTGATCCCAAACACCAACCTTCTTTGTTTTCCATGACTATAATCCTTGAATAACCCAACTTCTGAGGTTAACAGGGCATATACCCGCCAAAAATATGGCCCAGCACACCTTTCCCCATGTGATTTAAATACATCACTGCAAAAAATGTTATCATTTTCAAATACATGTACACTAATATAAATACATGTAAACTGCTTACTGTTTCTGTCATTGTAGACTGGCCGAGCAGTGATGTCACTGGGGACAGGAGCAGGTGCAGGAGCAGGTGCACGTGGTTGCAGTGTAACTGGAGTCTGCTTAATATCTGGTATCAGCATCTCCGAAGCTTGCTGGAGCAAGCGAACTACCCGACTCTGGATTTCACTAGAATCTAGAATTAAACGTTTTTGTGGAACATATACGTGAGCAGCAGCAATCATACAATTTTTGGCATTAATCCCTGAGCCCTTCTTAAACACTTGTATTCTTTCTACATATGATAACTAATTATAAACTAGAAAGTCGGACAAAATA